GCCCCGGGTTCCCCCTCGCCCGTTTGCCGGCCGGGGTTGGCCCCGGCCCCCCCCCCCCCGTGACTAAGCGGTAGAAAATTAATGACATAGAAGCTACAATATACAGGGTACTACTGTACATTGTGTTCAGTATGCTTTGCATACTGTATAAACCGTGGTCTCTACAAATGGACATTTCTCTACTCTTTGTATTTTTAAAACATTTTTTTCCTACAGTGTCAAGCCAACATCAAGAGCTACTTCCTCTGCATGACAGAGAGTGATCAGAGGGTTAAAATTCTTAAAAATCAAGACGGCACCACGAGAAATTTTACGGTGAGATGATCCTGCATTTGACTGGCTTTGTTTATAAAGTTATCCACTTACATATGCTGCAGCAGGAGGAGGTGCTGTGTGACCTGACAGTGGCGCTGTGCAGTTGGTGTCTGTCTCACATCATGTGATTTCGTTCAGGAGGGAGACCCTGTGTACATCTCCACCTCAGAGTCCGGTCCTGAGGAGCCTGACAAGACTTTGTCCAGGTAATCCTGTGGCACAGTACAAGTCTGCTTCAGAAAGAAAAGTACACATCCTGGTCTGTCACAGGGTATTTTTGATACTAAATACTAAAATAAAGGAGTTATAAAGGTCATCAGGGGAAAACACTGTGAAAGAAACAGATCCGATGCACCTTGAATATACAACTTCTAAACTCATCTTTTCACAGGACCCTGTTCAGGGTCTCTGCCCCACACACAGGGAGGGATCTGGGTCCAGGCCGCTTTGACGACCTGCCCGCCTTTGGAGGAGAGCGACCCGTCTCTGCACCACCACGCAGAAACAGGACGGTGGAATACTTCTGGATCCCTACAGATCAGGAGTGACCGCTCACAGTCCTTAATGAGCTCCAGAGAAATTACTGTTGTGTTGTCAGGGAAGAAGCTGCGATGACTGGAGGACACCTCAAGGCCCTGGTGCACTCTCCCTAACTCGCTCTGCCTCCAGACAGAAGCACATCTATGTGTCACTGTAGCTACATTTGCAAACTGACTTAAATGACCAGTTCAAGATCTTCTAAATTACAATAAGGCTTTGGTTTGGCTTCTGAATGTTTGAACTGTGCTTTGTATAACAGAACAATGGTCAAAGTTACACCCCAGAATCCTCGTGGACACCTTGGTTTCCAGTTATTAGAATGTGAGGTAGAGCCCAGATAAATTTTACAACCTGATATTTTAGCTGACACTTGACTGTCGATGAAACTGCAGTACATTTATGAACCAACTATTTTTCAATGATGTGAAGTTCAGTGAGCAGCAGATTAAGACTGCGTGAGAGATTCTGATGCAGAACACGAGGCCACTAGGTGTGAATCAAAGTGAAAAGTCCTTTTTGGTGCTCATGTACTGGTCTTTATTGACATTAAAGCGATAGAGGTGCACAATTATTATGAATACCTTACAATATGATCCAGATCCATTGCCTTATACAGAAACATGGCTTGTGAGCACGATTCTTGGGTAAAATTTGACATTTATCATTTGCCCAGCTGGTTTTAAGAGCTGGAGGAAGTTAATTACAATGCATCATAAAAGTTTGCTTTCATTTGACCAATTAAAAATGTGCCTATTTTGAGCATTAAAATCAAACAGGCCAGGTTCAGACTGTCACTCCGACCTCCCAGCAAGATGAAGCTGTGAAACCCAACCTAGTGACAGGTGCATCTCTCAAACAGGATGCCACGTTCTTAAAAACATTCTTAAATATTAATACTTGCAAACCACGTGAAGCTTCGTAAGAAACATCTGTTTCAATACATTTATTGTGCAATTAGGCCAGGACCAAATCAAACACTTGAGCATCTGCTTGGGCTCCAGGTTCTTCTTAGTAGACATTATTATCCCAGCACAAAAAACCCAAACCAAAGCCCATCTAACTAAGAGGTAGAAACACAGGCAACTCTGAAACATTACAGCGGCATACCAATGATTACAGTTTTTTAAAAATATCGTAACATTTGGAGGATGAGTATTGCAACCACTCGTAATCAAAGACAAGAAGCATAACAGATATGGGGGTGAATCTCCTGGTGAGGGAGAAACAAAGGAAGATGCTCATCAACAAATATGAAGAGCACTTTTATTTAAAAAAGAAAAAGCGAAAACTGTTTTATCAAGCGTCTGTTTACTAAACATGCACCTTAATTCATCATGAAATGTTCTGCCATCTTAGGATTCACTCTGACCTAAGGGGGCCGTTTTGATATTCATCATACTCGCAGTGTTGAAGATTTCCAAAATAATCAGTCTGCAGCCTGTTGGGTGATTTTAAAATCCCTTGTGCTGATGGAGGGGGATCCAGGCGGGGCCCCCGCAGAAGATCACAAAGCAGATCACTGACAAGACCTCCCATTAACAGCTTTATGCTTTTAACTAACATTAGCAAAGATCACCACTAACTTCTCCTCTTTATGGGGAATCCTACACATTCTCAAAGCAGTTTCCTACTGGGAAGGCTCAAATCAGTAAAGACTGAGTGGAAATGAAAAGCATGCAATACAGTGAAAAGAGCTACAAACCCAACACAGAGCCCAAAACAAAGACCCATGGCTGAGTCACTTCAGAATTCATGGAGCTGATGTAGGACACAACCCAAAATTCAAACATCCATTAGGCAACAGATAAATGATGCTTCTCGGCCTATTGTCACGGTGGTAACGCGAGGCCCTACAGGTGCAAGCTTTCGGTTTATATCAGCGACAGAAGCAGCTGAGTGCCACATGGTAGTGGTTAAATTAAGCACAGAGTTTAATAAAGGAAAGGTGAGTGTAATACAATAAGGTCGATCTTCTACACCACAATGCTTCTGATTGGTTTCTCAGTCTGCTTCCTCCTCAGACTCCTCCTCCTCCGCCGTCTCCAGCCAGGTGAGCCACTGGTTTACCTGAGGGTAGGAGAGACGGCACGACTTAACTGGCTCATCTGCTGTTAATGAACAGCTAAAGATATTCAGTCACACAAATTTAAGTCCAATTTCTTGTTGACTATTGTAAAACAACGTGATGCTACACCTTTGGCATTACTGTACCTGGAATAAAGCTTTTCCTTTTCCAGGGAATTCTTGGGTAATGTCTTCTTTCCACGCAAGGAAGGCTTCTTCTTCAATGATCTCCATGTCGTAGAAGTTGACAAAGTAGCGCAGCAGCATGCCTGGGTGGAGAGAATTTGTTCCACAATGTTTAGTTTCCATTAAAAATATACAGAAAAGGCATCTCAAATCAAACTTTGCTGTAAAGTTAAAAAACAAAACAAACATGCCTGTCAAATGCATTTACGTTTGTGCATTCGGTGCTGCTGGACTTAAAACTGCAAATGGGATAAACTGGATAAAAAAAAAAAAAAAAACAACACACATCTGCCATCATCTTCTTGGACAAACCCCCCTATAAACCTTCCTGTGGGCACAGATTAGTGCAGGCTGCTTAAACTTAAATGTAGTTTCACTACTGTACATGACTGAAACACAAGCTGACAACAGAACTCAAACAACCATAAGTGTTTGGATGAACATTTGTGTGACCGATAGCATCGCTGAGCTAATCTGTACTGTGGATAAGGTTAGTCTCCACAGTGTACATGAAACAGAGAGCAGAATGTTGCCTATTTTACATGGAAGTTGCTAACGTAGCTAATGCATACGGAATTAGCCAAGTTATGTTAGCTAGTTGATGTTACATATCTAATACAGTATTTTATAATCTAGAATTTCCTTTGAATAATAAACAAAAGGCACCTAAGTGGTCTGAACAACTGGGGAAAACCCTGTATTAACAACACACACATCTCTAGAAGACGAACTCAGAATTGAGGGTACGGTACCTTTAGGAAACCTGCTGACGTTGCAATGCACCTGCAGGGCGTACAGGGCGCTGACCTGCAGCTCGGTATGGTCGTGCAGGAACTTCTGCATGACGGGCTTGAAGGCCAGCAGCAGCTGTTTCTCCTGCTCCAGCTGCTCTTTGGAGGGGGCCGCCAGCTGCTCGTCACCCTCTGCCATGCACAGCTCCTGGGAGATGTACTGCAGGAAGCTGGGGTAACATCAGAGGACAACAATCCATTACACTAAGGCCACCTCATATGAACTCGCATCATTTCCAATATATGGTTTTCCATTTCTTTGAATACAAACCTCCATAACTTCAGCCTTCCTGTGTACCTTTGTGTGTGAAGACAGAACTGACAAAATGTCCATACGTTTCACTCTCGAATATAGGGATATTTTGTTTGTTTGATTTTGGTTTTCTGTTTTACATTTTCAAATCATTATCTTTCAGTTGTGAATTGTCTGTCAAGCACTGATAATGCAAATGATACACTTCAAGTGAGGTTCTTGGTCATTCATCAAAATATATCTTAATATCAAAGAATCTTGGGAAAATTAGAGTAATCTAAACACTGGACATAAACACCGACATACTAGAGATGCTGTGTACTAGAGAAGCCTCAGTGTTCATCGACACGAACTAGCAGCGATACTGTTACCTTGTCATGAGAATGTTGACAAAGCCTTTATCAGTGTGAAGCTTGGGAGAGATGTTGTCTTTGATCCACTTGTAGATGGACTGTGGAGAGGGATCTGCCTTTATCTGCTTCAGCAGCTCCTTCTCCAGCTTCAGCAGTGGAAACAGGAAGCTCAGGCCCTTCCCCTCCAGGATCTCCAGCATGCGGTCCTTGTTCTGATCGATTTCTGCCATGACAGTGATTCAGACAGGGGGTCAAAATGCTGAGGATTATTTGCAACACCTGGAATGTCAGTGACCCCTGGTCATTCATTAACATGAAAACAATGGGAAGTGGATTTGACTTGACAGAGGCAGAAGGCCATTTCCAAAAGGTTGGCAGGAAGCAGGGACATACCTGGGAGCATCTTCTGCATGTTGACCTTGCTCTGTTGGAAGAGATCGGTGAGCCACTCTCTGTCCTTCAGCTTGGCCGTCTGTTGCAGGCAGAGCAGGAAGAGGGGGAAGTGGGTGCCGTTCTCCAGGGGGTGAGCCAGCTCCGCCACACTCACCAGCTCTGCGATGACGGCACGAGCTGCAAACTGGGCCAGGTAGGACTTCACCAGGGGCACGTCCACCTCAATCTTAGGGCACTGGTCCAGAACGTTGAGGAAAGCCTGCGGGAGTCAGAGCAAATGCCAGAGCATGAATCATGATGCACCCCCCCTTCCTGGATCTATGACAAATTAGGGTGGTTTCACATTATGTACATGGATCCGAGTACCCTTGACCCCAAAGTCTGGTTCATTTTGATCAGTTTGTGAACACAAACACTATTGGACTTGGGCACCATGCCTGAGTCCGCATGAAGAGGTGGTCTCAAGGACAGTTCATGTGTCTATGAGTACAGGTCACGGGAGACATGAACACAACCGTGCTTAAAGAAGGAAATGGGCTGCCATCATAACTATTTGACTCTGTTGAATAACATGGCTGTGAAAAGGTCTCCGTGGAATAATGAAGTAAAACACTTGCTTGAAATTTGGGCCGATGAAAAAGAGACAACTGGATACTACACACAAAAACTGGGAAATATAGAAATATTCATCAGTATGCCTATGTGCATAGGTACATGCGCCCAGATGATGCCAAGTAGTTGCATCTTCTTGTCAGATTGCAAACCAACTATGTGCATACTGCCACCTACTGTATCGGACTGTGTACATACCCAAGTGTGCTTGGGCATGGGACGATATTACTAATGAGAAAACAGACTTGCAGGGGAGAGGGGAGCAATCATGCTCAGGCACAATCGTGCCTGATGTGAAAACATCCTTTGTCTGGTGGTGACACAGTTTTGTTTCCTTTTGTGAACAATCCCTTGATATTGTGCTTGCCAACTTCTGTGCTGCAGCTGTTTTAACTACATAAATGGTGGATGAACCTACCTGCATGAAGTTCTCTCCAGTGATGAGGCCCTCACTGCGGAGCGTGTGGATCAGAGTGCTGGCGTGCTCCTTGTCCTCATTGGGACGGTCCAGGGAACACACGATGATCTTGCTGAGCATCTCTGGAAGAAAATGCTTGGGAGCCTTCATCTCTCGCACGCCACTCACGGCCTCAGTGAGGTTCCTACTGTTCAAGTACTCAATCATAATCGCCTCCTGGAGAGAGGGTTCACGTGCACAGAACGATCAAGCTCATTTGTGCTACAAGCTGAGCTGCATACATATGCCAAGTAAGTTCATGTATTCAGTCCTATTTGTGTGACTGGTAGTAAATGGGATATCTGAAAACCTTCAGTGAACCGATTATATTAACCGCTCACAAAGTAGTATTTATTAACTTGCAACTGACAGATGTAAACATACCGTCATCTTAAGCAGTTCCTCCTTGGCAGGAGGTGGCTTCTTGCTTGTCTTCTGAGGTTTCTCTTGGATCGGTGGAGGGTTGGTCTTCAGGCCAAGCTGTGGAGGCTGAGGCCAGAGGTCATGCATTTATTACAAACATACAGCTCAAGCAACAAACTCTATGTGGAATTTTTGTCATTTCATTCAATCACTAACTCTTTCATAAATGTTCGCTTCACTTAAAACTCTTCTTTGGGATTCCATTTGATACACCTAACGTGCATAAACTGAGGTGGAATCTGTCTCCTACCTGTCCCAGAGGGGGGGTTTGAGTGCGTGGGGGCTGGGCGCTGGGAGGCATCATGGTGGGGATCTGGGGCTGGAGTTTGGGTACCTGG